ATTGAGATTCCTTGGGGGTAAGGATAAATCTTTTTACATGCTAATTCTAAAGTGAAAACAGAATTGACAAGACACTAGCAGTAAGTTGGAAATGTGGGACTTGAACTTGGCAAAAAGGTCACAGCTGAAGATACAAATGTGCTAGACATGTGTGTCAAAATGCAAACATAAATTATGAGAAGAGATGCCATTGTCAAGCGAAAGAGTATAGACAAATAAAGAGGTTTGAAGACCCTATGTCTTACTTTAGAAGCCTTACAAAGAAGTAGAAGAATAAAATTAATGAAGTGAGAATTTAACAGGTAAGAAAATAAAGTTTAGTACAATGAATTATTAAGGAAGTAAAGGAGAACATGCTAACCAAAGTATTGTAGTAAACCTAATTTCTAGATTTAGGACGGAATTATATTTACATTTTATAATAGAATATTTTTTATTTTGAAAATACCATACAGAGGGATTACAATTACATGGACAAGGTAATGAGTACATTTCTTATCAAGCATTGTTGCCTCCTCTTTGTTTCCCCTTTCCATCCCTTCCCATCTCCTGCCCAGCCCCGCCACCCCGCGGCCCTCGGAGTCCACAGCCTTCCCCCACCCCCTCCCCACGCTGCCCCTCTCGCCTGCGCCAAATTTGTAAAGTTCATTTTTCAACCTAACGTCTTGTACATCTCATTGTTGCAATGGGTCCACCTGTATCCCTATTTGAACAATTTGTTTTATCCCTTCCCCTCCACAAAGTAAGCCAGGCCCAAAGAAACATAGGTCCCATGCTTTCCCTTATTTGCAATAACTAGTATATAACAGTAGAATATTTTATGACACACCCCAAACCAAAATCAAGATGGCTTCTTGGAAATTACATTTTTCCTAATTTTGTTAGTAATAGTTAATAGTATCCTTGGAATATATGGATCTCACAACAAGGAAAGCAAAATCCTTTCAAAGGATCAAATATAGTCTCGATATTTGTTAACAGTTTTGAATATCATAGGTATTCTCTGTGTACTAGTAACTGCACGGTTATGTTCATTTTTTTAATCAAAATCATTATAACCTGTCTTGGCATAAATGTATAAATTGATAAGTGCAAAGATTTCTACAAGAATTGATTTTTTTTGAGGAGGAAAAAGGGAAGTTACAAATATCGGATACCTTCCTAAGTAAAGAATTCATTTGTTATAGGAGAAGTAAAACTACATTGTTACAATAGTGTATTTTTCTATAGAGCACTCATATTTGGTTTTAACAGTGTTCCTGATAGCTGTCAGTGTATGACAGATTTTAACTTCTTTCTGTCTCTTACATTCACAAGGGGACAGTTTATTCCCCAAAGGTTACATAGTCCATATTCTTGTGTAGATTTTCTATATAGCAAAATTTTAAAATAATTTCCATCTATATCTCTAAAGCAACTATCAAAATAAAAATGACAAAGTTGTATTTTATTTTCTGAAGCATAAATAGCAATTAATATTATTAAGTGCTTTTGGCTTTGTTGAACTAGAGAAGTTTCTAGGGTATAAAGCAACCTGAGAGATATGAGCCTTTGTCCCTGGTCTCACCAGTTTAAAGAAAAAGAAATGAGACTGCTTCAAGTTTAAAATAATCCATTGTTTTGTCCTGAATATTCTACAAGTTTTGTTTTATTTCTATATTATTAAGTTGTGTTACTAAAGACATTACAAAAAGCAGAAAATGAAATAACAAAATGCTCATTTGAGGGAAATAGACTATAACTTCAAAATAAGTAGCATTTTATCACATCAAATATGTAAATAAATATATCAGATATCCCAAAGACCATGAAGATTTTTGCCTGTGTATTACTACTACAGAGAAAATTGTTTCCCTGGTTCTAATTCAAGATGATGAACTATATGGGTGAATTACTACTTTGTGTTTGTTTTCTTACTAATAGCTATGTACTTGGAATTAATATCTACTACAGAGTAAATGGCAATGACACATCTCTCTTCTTTTCCAAACAATTCAAGTCATTGAGGTTCAGGTTAGTTTCTATTTCTCTCTATTGTATACCTGGTAAGAGAATCACAATTGGTAAAAATAGTAATTCAACCAATTAATGACGGTTTTATGAGAAATATTATCTAATGGCCACACACATTCAACGCTCAAAGGTAATAGCCATCAAAGTTAGCACATACAAGGGTTAAAGATTAACTTCACCTTGGCTTCCTTAACAGGTTATTTATTAAAACATCAACCTGGGAAACATCATTGAATACTTTAAAATTTTATTTTTTACACTAATATCCAAATTCTAATGTAAAAAAAAATCTGGAAATAATTATAATACATTATATATGTTTCTGTTGCTATCATATTTATCCACATTATATTGTCAATTTAACTGCAATAAAAATTTTACATACCTGTTTCTTCATTTTATAAAAATTAGAATAATTTTACTTTAACATAAATTATAATAATTAAAATATATTAATTAAAATGTCATAATGCTTAAATTTCAAAGAAATTTTAATGAATAAACTATATAAACATATGTTTACAAAGAAATTTGAAAATCAATTTTGATTGTTTTGATTATTAATACAAACTCATCATTCCACTAATGAGAGTGCATACTGAATCAATTAATGAGTGAAATCTCTAGTTTAGGAATACCTGGCACTTAGTGTACTTAGAAGAAGTAGAAAAGACATCATAAAATGTTATATTTCAACCATAAATAAAATATCCCTTATTATTCTATCATTACATTTCAATATTTGTTATATAGCAATCACTTATTACAAAGTACTTGGTGTAAATAGATATATAGTAATACTTGCACATGGAGGAAGACCTTAGAACTCCCTGGTTCTATTTCCCATATTTATTCTTAGCCTTAAACAAACTAACCCATTCAGATTGTGTGCACTCTTTTATTTTTGTTTGTTTTAGAAAAAACAATGGTCTATATTTTGTAGCCTGAGTATTGTCAGCACTTCCAGCAATTTTCTGCCCGTTTCTCAATCACTAAATGCTTTCTGCTGGCCCTGAATTATTAGAAGAATGTGAGGCAGTTGCAGCAGTTGAAGAATTCAATGCTATAAACACACCTTTCTCAAAACCTCTGAGAAAGTAAAGGAAGAAAAACACTCAACTGATACTATACAACTTTGCTCTTCATGATTTTTATTAGGTTATTCCTTGAAAAGAACTTTGTTAAACATTCAAATATTTCTCAGAGTCTCACTTTGGTTTATAAAATGGAAAAGAAGAGAATATGTTATCAACAGCCTCATTGCTATGGACAATCATCATTTGTTTGTTAGCTTTAGAAGAATAGTTAATCCTTTGCAATATGCCTCTCAAATTATAATGCTGTAAAAATGTGCCTTTATACGGTTTCAAAGCTCATGTTTAAGGTCTTGCGCTGCCATGCTTTATTTGGAGTGTGAAACAATCAGGTGACTCTGTGAACACAATTACAGAACACTGGTGCAAATAGCTTGGCTCAAATTTATCTGTGTGTGTGTGTGTGTGTGTCTGTCTGTCTGACAAACTCTCTGATCTACTCATTTTATACAGCCAACACCCCTGGACACCAGGTTCATAATTTTAAAGTGGACTCTTTTAAGTAGAAAATACCATTAGAAGTCATGGTGGTATGGAATTTCATTGAGGAAAGTGATTGATTATGAAGCAACAGAAATATGTACATGGAGAAGCAATGCAAGTCCTCAGGACGGTGTGGCTGCTTTTCTCTTAGGGAGGCAGATGTGGAGTGTAAAGCAGCAATCTTATCTGTGTGCCTCCAGGAGCAGCCTGAGCAATTTCTTTCCATTGGTTATGCCACCTTCCTGAGAGGACTGCCTGCGACCACAGAGTGTAGAGCATGAAGCCCTGTTAAGAATCACAGAAATACCATCTGCCAGGAAGATTTTGCTGGGCGCAGTGAGGACTTGTATAAATTCATAAACTATGTACCAGAGTGCATTGGTTCTCTTTTATACCATAATGTAACCTTCCTTTATTTTTCATTCTTTATCTTTAAACCAAAATAAGTAAAAATATTTCTACTTGATACAAATTCGCATATTATATTTAAGCAATCAGTGATCAGTAAAATGTTCTCTTTGTATAACTCCTGTATGTGTAATACCATTCTTCTCTTTTCTGTTCTGTCCAAACTAGAAATCTATAAGCGAAGTTCCAAGGGAACTTTCTTCTTCTAATACCTGAATTTAAAAAAGGTCAACATCTTTGCAGAGATATTTTACTCTAGCAATGAGGTTTTTTTTTTTTTTTTTTTTTTTTTTTTAACAATTCCTGACTTTTCAAAGTAAAAGTTTGAACTACTAAAAGATTTGCAACTACCTTGAATGTATTACTTCTTTTGACTTGTTTGCTGTAAATTATATTCTAATAGACAGATGATGGTAAGTTTTGAGATCTGACTATTACAATGGTAAATGCATATATGTTAAATATAATAACAAAACACAAAACTCCTAAGCACTAAGTAAAGAGGTCTTAGTGAAAACAGTTCTAAGGTATTTTTCTAAATGATTTTAGAGTAATAGGATTATTTCAAGAATTTCTAAAATAACATATCCTTTCTCTAACGATTTTCTCCAGCTCCTAATCTCAACTGTCCTAATTAAAGTGAGCATTCTAGGGCATTATGATTTGTATTCAGGTAGAAAGTAGAATAAAAATAAAGGTGAGTGATTTTAAAACATCCTTAAAATTTTTGTCAGAGAGAAAAATTCTATTAAGCTTGTTTTATAAGGGCACAGTAAATGATGGCTGTAATGAGGTAATATTTGGCAATAGTTTGGCTTAAAAACACATGAGCACATTTTTGGAAACCTCACCAACATATTTTTTTGACAACAGAACAGTAGGCACTTTTCAGTTTCCCATGATGCACAATCCATCAAGGGTCAAAATCAGGATGAATCCCTGACTTGCACAGAGATTTTGTTAACACACTATGAATGATCAAGCAATCAGATCATGAATTACCTTTGAGAGATCTCCAGCCTCCAAATAGAAGCAGGTAATAAACACATTCCATGTAACCCAGAGAATTAGCCAAACAGCATACTGCAAATAAGCAAGAGAGAAATGATATATAATTATTTTGGAGTCAGTAGAGCAAGATTCATGTAGAACTTGAACTTCTGAACATGCAAATCTTAAGAATCATGCAAAAGTAAAGATCAGATAATGTTTTCTTCTAAGAAACATGATTAAGTACACTTTACCTCTGCTGATATTTATTTATCTGTTATGGCTTCTTGTAGTATTACAGTGCAAACAAACTGGATGATAATATTTAGAGAAAGAAATAATAGCTCCAATTTTTGTTTTAAGCCATAATGATTTTAGATTCTAGTCATGTTAAAATAAAAAGTGGGATGCTCCAAAGGCTTACCAAATATATGAAAAATATGAACATATTTCTGTTCAGTAAAATAGTCTTCACATGTAATAATGTACAACATTTCTCCACATTATCTGAGGTCCTCTTCTAAGCAGAACCTCAGCCTCCATCTGGTCTCATTAGCTTTCTTTCTTTGAAGTCACCTTTTTCTTCCTTCCCTTCACTTTAATCTCCCAGAATCCTCCATAGGAATCACTTGACAATTATTCTCTTTTATATTAGTTTACTTTTTGTTTGTATCATAGAGGGTTTTGCAATTACAGGATTCAGGTAACAAGTGCAATTCCTTTTATACAGTGTCTTCTGTTCCCTCATTATCTCCCAGTCCATTCCTCCTGTCTCCACCCACTGTCATCACTGTCCAGTGAGCTCCATTGCTGAACTTTGTCACCCTTTTCCCTCTACTTCTGTGATCTCTCTCCAACCCTTCCCAAGATGAACAATTGAATACAGCAGACATAAGGTAAAGAAGACAGAATCATCAACAACTAAAAACTAAAGAAAAAAGTTTTTTGTTTCCATATTGTGGGGTTTGTTTCTGTATGCCTATTATTTTATATAAATATGAAGAGCCATTTAGGCATTTCATGTTTGTGTTTCTCTCCTAAGAGTATCATCTTTTGGTCCAATTGTGTGTGCATATCTACAGTCCTGTGGAATTTATCATATCCTAGTGCATTTTAGATCTAATTTCTGCATATCTTAGAGAACATTCACTGTTCTGACAATTATTCTTAATTTCATTCTGTTTTCACTGTTTTCACAGTGGTTACAAAATTTCTTAACAAACCATACTTCTGTTATTTCCATCAAGGAAAAAATTATTTGACAACATGCTAAAAAAATACTGAAAATAGGGCAGAGCAAAGTAAAGATAAATTTTCCTTGATTCAAGTCCAGTGAGGCCAACTAAAACAAACAAACAACAAATGATCAAATTCTTATCCAGGAACCCAAAAAAAGATGCAGAGTAGAAACTCAAAGTAGGAAAATGGGAGAGATGCATGGTTTATTTTTGGAAAAAAAGAAGTTCTGGGTGAAATTCCTTCCTCTAGAGGTGAATCAAACTGTCTTACAGACTTTAACAAAGAAATGAAAGTGAGGTAAAGACTGACGTGTTGGAATGTTATTGTAGAATACTGCTAACAAAGGAATCAGAAGATAACGATTTTTAAGACATGGGACAAGAACGTATAATACCATTTCTCTGCTTAATGCCATGGCTCTTGTTCTTTGTTTTTAATACATTTTTATTGTAAAAATAGTGTACAGAGGGGTTACAGTTTCATGCACAAGGTAATGAATACATTTCCTATCAAGCACTGTTACCTCCTCCTTTGTTTTTTCCCTACCATCCCTTCCCTCCAACTTCCACAACTACACTCTCCCCCGCCCCCCATGCCCCGTCTAAATTGTACAGTTTTTATTTCAACATAGTGTCTTGTTCCTGACACACTGATTACTTGCTATTTCGTGGCCTTAAAAGCTACTTATTACTTCTGTGCATTTTTGTATATTATTCCCTTGCCTTTTTAATTATTCTCTTCTATAGGTACTCTTTTCACCATCTCACGTTTTTCATAATTTTTATTTCAAAGGTCAATGCAAATATTATTTCCTGAGTAACATCCAGTTAGAACTGATTGAGCCTTACTTAGTGTTCCCAGTGTACTGAATTATTGGATTATAAGACTAAACTTCTTATAATCATTCCTTGTAATCCAGAAGTCCTTCTACTTCCTTTATATTTCTTTACATTATTTTCATTGTAATATATATCTTATTACAAACAAGTTAGCTGACAGTTTAGTATAACTCATGACTTACAAAACAATCACCATCTTCAGTAGTGAGAATCCTTTCATCAACAGGGAAGGTCACACTAATGCTACCAAGGATAAGCCTGCATTTCAGTATCCAAAGTCAGGGATTTCTCAACTACAGCATTATGTCATTTAGCTTTATCCCTTAACTTTCTCTCATTTAACTTCCTTTTACCTCTTTTACAGTGTCTCCTATCTTGTTTGTGTCATTATTTTTTGTCATTGCATGTCTCCTTTTAGTAGCCAGTATTTATTTGTGATAATTACTATCCAGTGAATTTTGACTGGCTGCCTAAGAACGCCTTTTAATCCTGTATTTCCTTGTAATTTGGTCTATAACTGATTCCTGATGATACATTGTATTGTTCACACTGTTCTTCAAATTATTCATCATAATTATTTAAAAGTTATGTCTGTACTAACTTTTTTCCACTTGCTCTAGCTTGTAGAGAGGATATAATTGACATTTTGCAGTTTGAGCAAAATTTGACAGGACATGCTGCTCAGGAGAGAAGACCTGGAAGGCTAACAATGTATCAAGCAGGCTAAGAATCATCAAGGCTAACAATGTATCAAGCTGGCTAAATATTATCTAACTTGAATTTGTATGCTATAAAACTAATATAACCTCAATTTTCTTTGCAAAAATTAGCTTTTCTATTTTTCAGATATATACTTTGAAATATTATCTGAAATTATCTGTACTGAAATATCTGTACTGAAAGATAAATTTCATTGTATGGTATACTGAACTTTTTATGAATTCATATCTTAAATAAGTAAAACATTTGAGGTAGTTGGTTGCCAAAGGCTCACATCCATAACCTTAGCTAGTAAGGAGGCTGAGATCCAGAGAACTTGGTTTCAAAGCTGGATCAGGTAGAAAAGTAGATAACACTGTACCTTCAAAATTACCTACCAACCGACAGTTAGAAGTATGGTTCAAATGGTAGAGTGCCAGCTGAGCAAATAAGCTGAGCAAATGTGAAGTCCTGAGTTTAAACCTTTCGGCTAGAATGAAAGATTAGGGGATCAATTAAACTTCAGTCTCAAAGAAAGGTTTAACTGTCGGCTAAAAAGTGTAATCAAACCATCATGCATTATCTGTTGCATCTATTGCAGCAGTGATGAATTCAGATTAATTAAATATGATAAAAATTAGCTAATATTGTTAATAGGATAGACCAAAATCCTGACACAACTTAGGTACATGGTTGCAAAATAGGTAGAGAATTAGATTAAGAAGTGTAAATGTAAAAGGATAATTCATATTTTATTGAGAAATAAGAAGTCACACTTTATGGACATCTCCAATGCATTGCTATTTTTCTCTATCTTCTCTCTGTCTCTCTTTTACAATAAAATTTTAAAATAAACTTTTTTTCTTTTGAAATGCATCTAAATTTTAGCATAGTTTGTCAGGTTTTCATGAAGAAATACACACACATTTTTCAATTGTATTGAAATGCTATTAGATTTATAAATTATGTCAAGAGAAGCTGGATGCTACACAACTGTACATCCAGAAAAAAGTAAAGAAGTCAAGAACTGAAAGCAAACTTTCATATGTTTCTCACTAATTAACAATGATTATAATAGAGTTTTTCTTATGATGTAATGTGTACAGACAATTATGACTGGAAATGGAGATTTTTAGTTTATGGTTTAGCTTTCTAATTTCTTGTTTAATTCTCTTAAAAAGTTATCATATCCAGAAAATGATCATTTAGTGATATTACCATAATGATTATTGGTAAGATGGAAGAGGGAAACACAATTCAATCACTTGTGAAATGATACTATAATTGCTTAATTAGAAAATGATTTGGGTCATGAATCACAGCACATTTATTAAGTGCCAGCTGGATGCATTTGACTACAGCAGATGTTGTAGAGTAACATCACAGGAGCTAACCAAGTTGCTCTACTGATATGATTTATTGTTGATAGGCCTTCAATGCAAACTTAGAGAAATGTTTTCTGGCATGATTATTTTACTTGGATGCAAAGCTGGTATCTGCTTACAAATATCACTGACAGTGTGCTGCTAATGTAAATGTAATCATGTAATCAGTTCTAATGAACTGTTAAACATTACCAAGAAGCATTCCATTAACAAATGCCATCTTTAAAACAACTCCTTCAAGCAAAAAAGGGTTTATGATTATTAACAATTAGGTGTTCTAGTATTAACAATGAAGACGTGTGAATGGATATAAATGTATGCTTATGAAACAAATGCTCCTAGAAACAATGATTGGAACACAGTCATATGTTGTTCAAAGTTAATTATATTTTATCTTAATTTTTTCATCTCCAATAGCAACATCGTTTAATCTGTTCAGGTTGCTGCAACTTTTTTACCTATTGTTATGATCAATAGCAAAACTGGCCCAAATAAAGCACGTTATTTCTAATTTTTGACCACTAAAATTCACAAGTTCTATTACATCAAATTATGCTACAAAGCAAGGCCCCTTAAGGAAATCTTTACATGAAAATATACTATTATTACAACTTGCACTGTGGCCAGGCACGACGACTCCGATTAGATTATCAGCCAGACTCTGGTAGAATTCCGATTTTAATCGCAGAGCCTGATGCAGGTTATAGATGAAGGAGCATTTCTGCTTTCTTAGCCTTTATTGGTGTTGGTGCTGATATCATAGGATTGAACTTTTTGCGATTCTATATTTGAAGAGGCATTTTAAAGATTGCATGATTTCACTTCAAAGTATAAGCAGAAACAAAGGGTGAATAAAATCCTAATATTTAATGCACATTCTAGGAAACAAAGGAAATTGAGACAAGGGATTGGGTCAGGTGGGATGGGGAAG